TCATGGAGGATGGTCCATCAGTGGCTATTAGCCAGGCTGGGCAGAGACACAACCCATGCTCTGGGTGTCCCTAAACCTCTGACTGCCAGAAACTGAGGCTGGACGATGGGATGAATCACTTGATAAATTGCCATGTTCTGTTCATTCCCTCTGAAGCATCTAGCACCGAGCACTGTTGGAGACAGGATACTGGGCTAGGTGGACCATTGGTCTGACTCAATGTGGTCATTCTTATATTCTTACTCTGAAGGCCATTCCTTACTTCTTCCCCAGAGAGTGCTGCAAACCCAGTGCCACTTCCCCATGATCTGGCTGGGGGCTGCTAGGAACTCCGTTTGGCTGGTACAGTGTACCTGTCCGCTCAGCCATGGATGGAGCCCGCTGCAGAGTGCAATAATCTGTATGTTCAGGGAACTTGTTCTTCCCTTTGATCTGGAGGTGTATGGCACATGCCATATAAAGTGTGTGTCCTCACGGCCCTTCTCTCCCCAGAGCACCTTGCAGAAGCCTTTTGTGGCACTCTGCCCTTCAGCACTGGAGGCTGGTGGAAGGTTTGAGGAAGTTGCAAGGAAGAGAGTCCCTTCCCAGCCCTGCTAACTGCACTCGCCCTCTGCCCAGGGCCCTGGGCTGGGTTCATTGCCTCAGGGTAAGAAGCTCAGTACCCTGGGTTTGGGGAAGTGTTCCCCTCCCCCACATGAGTGCAGCAGGTGATGTGACTTCCTCTTTCCCTAGCCCCAGAGCCCTGCGCTGCTCAGTGGAAGTCACTGTTCCCTATTGCTGTGAGAAGCAGCTTTTGACTGGATGAGCAGGAGGGCTCCCAGGGACTGACTGGCAGGTGAGTCACAAGGGAAAGAGTCATTCAGAGAGGAGCCCAGTCAAAGCAGCCAGTGGCCTTAGGTTGAACTCTGGAACTTTCATCTCCTTGTCAAGCGATTAGCTCATCAGAAGCTGAGGCTGTGGGGTAGAAGTTGTGTTGAAACAAGTGAGAGAGGGGCTGCCCATGTGTGCAGCTACCGCACAGGGCGCGTAGGCTCTTCTCTGCCCAGGCCTGCCAGATGGCTGGTGCTGCAGATGCTGGTTAGCGTGAAACATGCTCTTTTCCCAGAGGTGTTCTGTGTGCGTTCTGGCTTCCACTTCCTCGAAACATTCACCATGTCCACATGGCTCCCACTTAGCACATGGATTCAGTATGCAGCCATCCAGCCCTTTGGGAGCGGGCAGCATTGCACTGGACTGCAGCTTGGTGCTCCCTGCTGAAGGGAGTGGAGCTGGGGTACTGTTTACCCCCTCCCCTGCCTCCGAAAAGACTGGTTCATTCTGTGTGGGAAGAATCTGGTACACGCTTCCCCACGGTGTGCATGTGTCATTTTCCACTCATGGTGGGGAGTTTTGCCACTCCCCCACTGCCAGTAAATGGGTGCAGTGGCTGCAGGCTGAGAATTCTTTGGGGCTGTGGGCTGGGAGTGGGGCTGGAGGAAAAGAGTTTCTGTCCTACGCCACCTATATTCTCCACCCCCTTCTCCTCACACACAGGCAGCCTGCAAACACGCTCTGGTAGAGCTGCCGTGAGAACATCGGGCACGTGTGGGCTCGTGCGGGGGGAAGGGCAGGTTGATGGAGGGAGCTCAGTCACCCTGGTCCTTATTCCCCCCCCTCAAGGATCCTGGAGGTGGCGAATTCCTCTCCCATGCTCCAGCAGTCAAAGAAAGCATGCAGGACAGGGTCCCAGCCACCCATTTGTGCTCTGGGTTCATCCACCCGGTGGGCAGTGAGACTCACTCCAGTGATGGGCTTTCCTTAACTAGGGCACATGATAGGGGCTGGGAGGCTCAACCCAGGAAGCTGGGGTACCCACCAGCGGTAACACTCCTACAAGCTTTCTCCTGCCCATCAAATTATCTTGGCTTAAATGCTCTTTTCTGGTCTTGGCACCCCAGAGCGGTTTTGCTTCCCCTCAGAGAGGCAATGGAGAGGCTGCCTGTGCTTATGTCATATTTAAACTGGGCAGATACAATGGATTAGGGCCCTCACTGGACATTGCTTCTTGCTCTGCTCTGCCAGTTGCTCTTTAACCGGCTGGCCAAGTGTTCCTCGAGTCCCCGGGTTTCATCTGCAGAGTTCATAAAATGGTGGCAAGTGAAGTCAAGTTTCAATGCAAGGGGTGCTTCAGGGCCACAGCAAAATAGCTAGTGAGTGAGTGAGAGCCCCTGGCTGCAGGGGCCAGTTTAATTGGTCTAGGGCTTTTTACAAGCAGATTTTATGTTTAAGCTCACACATGGCCCAGGAGCGACGCTGCAGCAGGGCATTGCTCTCCTGCATGGGTCCTGGGGGAATTCAGGTCAAGCCTAATTATACCTAATTGAGCAGCCCCACTGAACAGGACTGCAAAATAATGGGTGTAGGCTGGAGAATAAAGCAAACAAGAGGAGAGGTAATTAGTGTCGGACCTGGGACCATCATACCCCAGTAAATACCCAGCAAGCTGGGAGCCTCCTGAGCAGCCCCCTCATTCCACATTTGTACAGGTTCTTCAGCACTGCCAGGATCGGAGAAATTCAGTTCCCTGCTAGCAGTTGAGTCTTTACAACCTAGGGGATAGGGCACTGGACTGGGACTCAGGAGACCTGGGTTTAATTCCTAGCTCTGCTGTTGGCCTGCTGGGCGACCTTGGACAAGTTGCTTCACTCCCCGTGCCTCAGTTTCCCCCATCTGTAAAATAGGGACAATGAGACTGCCCTCCTTTGTACAGCACTTTGAGATTGAAAGGTGGAAAGCGCTATAGAAGAGCTAGGAATTTGTTAGAGCTGCCATCTCCTGCAAATGGGTCCAGGTTGTTACTGGTTTCCTGGCCAGTGTCTCTTCTCCAGACAGTTCTCGAGGGAGTGGGTATCTTGGATTGATTTCTTTGTCTCATGCCGTAATAGTGCTGTGTCCTTCAATAGTCCCTTTCATCCCGGGATCTGAGAACTTTGCAAATGAGCCTCACAACATCACTGTGAGTAAGAAGGGTAAGACATATAGGGTTCCGTTCTTCCTGCACTGTAATGCAGCTACTTCTCGGGTGAAGCACAATAACTGTTTAACCATGCACAGCAATGTCCAAAACAGTTTAGGAGAAGTGAAAAAGTTCAATATCCAAATGAACTTGCAGAGAGAATTTAGAGCAGCAGGATGAAATTACCTGTGACACTTCCTGCAGGCACCCAGGCTTGTGAGGCATCTCGCTACCACCGGCCTTGCCTGTGCCTGCTGCGGAGCCCTGACAACACAAGCACTGCCTCTCAGCTTACGCAGGCGCCTCTGTCTTGGTGCAGGCACGCTCCACCCACTCTCCCTCAGGGCAGCTCCCGGGAGTGGATAGCCCAAATCCATCGGACACTTTCTGAATTCACAGATCTGCTACCCTCAAAGGAATAATACACGTCAGTTTACCAGTTTCACCTCAGAATCACTGCTCCGCTTAACACACAGCACTTAGATATGTTTATAGTGAAAACAAGCATAAGTTTATTTAACAAAGAATTGAGATTCAAGAAGAAGCCAGTAGAATGATGGAAATAAATGGTTACCTATAAAAAAATCATAACATGCATTCTAGAGCCTAGACTTAGCTAACAGCTTACGTTTAAGCCCTGTAGAGTTTAGCCCACCCCAAAGTTTTTCTCCCAGTGTTTTACAGCCTGGCTGGCTGTGACCCTCTGTTCATAAGGTATGGATGCTGACAGCTTATCTCATAGGTGAAGGCTACCAAGTACACCCCTGTATATTCCATCAGTTCATTGTCTGTACTCGTAAACTCATGAGCTGCCTCTGAAACAATTCCACAGTGACATAGAAATGTAGCTCCCTGTCTAGCAGGTGATGGATGGAAGGAGGAGTGCCCAGGGAAGGCATCTGTCTCCTCTACAGCCCAGGCTCCTCCCAGAAATACCCTCCTAGGTCTCTCAGACTCAGAGGCCTGTAAACATGTTACAGTAAAAGCTTTGTTATCCAGCATGTTGGGAGGATGGGGGATGCTGGCTAGGAGCAGCAGGGACATGTTGTCACTTGCAGGGAGCCGCCCGAGGTGAGCACCGCCCGGATCTGGATACCTGGCAACCCTATCAGAAATGCTGGTTTCTAGGCTTTCCAGTTGGTAAAGTGCTGGATAACACAGCTTTTACTGTATTTATCTTGCTCTAGCCTCTTCTTCGTTTGCCCTGACTCTCTGGTAAAGATCTTTCATGCCTGGACATAGCAAAATTGTCCTTATTTGGGAAGAGAGAAACCAGCGGGGCCCTTATTTCAGATGGGGCTAGCGGATGTGAGGGCTTTATTCAGGTAAGTGGCAGCGATGTTTTGAGCAGTGCATCAGAAGCAGCTATCATAGAATCATAGAATATCAGGATTGGAAGGGACCTCAGGAGATCATCTAGTCCAACCCCCTGCTCAAAGCAGGACCAATTCCCAACTAAATCATCCCAGCCAGGGCTTTGTCAAGCCGGGCCTTAAAAACCTCCAAGGAAGGAGACTCCGCCACCTCCCTAGGTAACACGTTCCAGTGCTTCACCACCCTCCTAGTGAAATAGTGTTTCCTAATATGTAGCAGTTACTGCTTCTGGTGTCGCAAGGATTCCCAGCATTGAGCTGAGGGCAGGATAAATCAACACCCAATGCAGTAAAATCACCTGCACCATTGCTGCTGCTTTGTTTCTGGCTAATCGTGCAGATTGTCCAGTAGAAGTTGATGGTTGTGATCACTGCAGATGGGCACAGTAGCCAGCAGAGGGTGCTGTGCGTCCATCCAGCCTGCTCCCCCTGGCTTCACGCTCCAGCTGTTTGGCACTTGCCCTGTGCCTATGTGCATAGTGTTTGTGAGAGTTTGGGCACGTCCATTTGGTTCCCATCTACAGTGCCCACCCCCCACATGCAGGCCAGGTTATTCTCTCACCAGGGACTCTGTTAATTCACAGGAAATCGGGGAGAGTTTAATTGTTTTCTCCTCTTTTTTTCCCATGCAGCTGAACAAAAGGTTCATCCTCAGTTTTCTCCATGCCCATGGGAAGCTGTTTACCAGGATTGGGTAAGTGTGCAGGATGTTTATTTTATTTTCCTACATTACAAGTCTTTTTGGAATTTAATATTGTTAGCAACTAGACTGTGTTTGTAACCGAGGGCACAGGGTGTGAATTCTTGCAGGACTAGTCTCCTGGTTCTTCTTCTCCTTAGCCGCCCTCCAGTCCTGTGCTGGTTATTGTTTGGGCTTTTTCTCTCTCACCCACCTCGAGGCTGTGTCCTGTCAGACCCTGGGACGGCGTATAGGCCTGGCCCAGCCCTGTGGGCTCTGGAACTCCCAGGAACTGCTTTGCATTTCCCAGATCTCCCAGTCCTCTCCTCTGTATGACTGTTCCCAGATTCACCCAGCAGAGAGGCTGCTCTCCTGGCTTCTCCAGGGCTCACTGACTGCTCAGGTGGTTTTTTCTTGAGGAATTTGCATTCCTGTGACTGCAGACCTGCTGTCCAGAAATGGTGCGACAAGCGCTATCCCTTAGTCGCTTCGGCTCCTTTTTCCTGGAGGCTGTTGGTTAAGCGCTACCCTGGCAGTGGGAACTCATTTATAAAAAGTGCTCTTAGCATGTCTGGCATAATGGGGAGTCAAATAATTCAATGGCCCTCCTTGAACTACGGCGAGTCTGCTCAGGCCTGGGCTGAGATCCCAGCCTGGGGGATTCATGTCTGACCCAGGGAGCACGAGTGTCTCTGTGAGTCATCTGAGCTGGGCCTGTTACTGTCAGGTGCCTGTGGTGCTAAGTGCTTGTGTCTTTGCTTAGTGTCTGGTGTTGTGGTGGGACCTGTTTCTCAATCCAAACACCCGGAGTTGCTCTGTGTGTAATGTACCTTCAGATGGGAGCTGTCTGCTCAGCAGCATGTTCCATCTCTTCTCTTGCCTCCCAGTGGCCTAGAGGTTGATATTGTAACCAGGGTTCCTGCAGCTCCTGCAGTCTCTGATAGAGCCGTTTGTTACCAGTTACCAGACTGAGACTTGTTACAGGCCACCTGAGAGACCCCCGCACTGGCCTGACTGGCTCATTGTCCTTTCTGGTATAACACATTCTTTTGACTCAGGCAATGTAGTTTCTTGCTCTAGCCTGGGCCTGTCTATCAGCCCTTCCCTGGAAAGCCCTCCCCAGTCTTATGGGCTGGAGGATGTGTTCGTTAGTAGTAGTGTAGAACACTAGCAGTGAGCTTGGCTTGTTGTAAAGCTGCAGTTCTTACCCCAAGGAGCTTACGTTCCAAGCTGGCTGATCAAACTGTGCCTCTGAAGCCACAGGTACCTGCAGTTTCTGTTGTCTTTCAGTTTGATTTCAGGATCTTCCCATCTCAATGCAAAGTATGAGCCACTCTGGCTAATTCAATGGAGAGTGAGTCCTTTGAGCGGCTCATGGCTAACAATGTGAATCGCAGTCTGTGTCATGAGGCACTGTTTATCTGAATGTGGGCAGCATGTTGGCCTGGAGTGAGGAGTCAAAGAACTGGATGTCCTCGTGGATGGAGAAAAAAGGGCAGATGGAACTTTTAGTAACTGAATCGTGTTTCTCTGCCTGAGGGCATTGTGTCCAAGGACCTGCCTGTCCTGAGCTCTGCTGAGGCCATGCTCATGGCTGAGTTATGGTTTGAACGCTTGCCAGCAGGATGGATTAATGGGGATGTTGTGGTGATCGCTTGCAGATTTGTCTCCTGAGACTTTCATGAAATTAAGATGCAGCATTTTAGGAGGTCACTTCCCAGGACAGCCATTTAAAAAAAATCCAAGTATGTTTAATGACAGACTCTCTCCCTGCTGTTCTTATTAAGGGAACTTGAAAGTAATATCAAGCCCCAGGAAGGGAAATCAGCTGGTGGTGCTAAACAGCTTCTATGCTTAAAATAGGTGAATGGGGAAAAATAGATCAGACCTACTGTTTGTGCTTAGATCATTAAACTGTGGATGGCATGGGCCGTGTTTTGTGGCATTAATTAGAATGTCTCACTGCTAAAACCAAAGGCAGGCAGTACAGTGAAGACTTCCACTTCACTGCTAACCTGCTGGGCTCTGAGCTCAGTGGGCTTACCACACATGCTACCAGATGTGCTAGAGTATCAAAGCACAGCTGCCTGGGTTGATGAAGCCGTCACTCCTTCGAGCCTTCCAGAGTCCAAACATGACAATAACGTTCATTTCCTTTTGTAAGAAAGAAACAAATGGGGGAGAAATCCACCCTGCAAAGGGGCCTTTTGCCGTGCTGAGATCTGGGCCTTGTTTACACTCACAGGATGTTGGCTCTGTGGTGAGTTGTACACGGTACATGAGACTGTATCGAAATCCGGAGGCCTTTAGAAACTATCCTAGCTCCCAAACACCAGGAATGCTGCCTCTTCCTAGGGGAGCAGCTTGACTGCTGAACGGGGCCAGCCCCATTCTGCAGGGCTGTTGTAGCAGCCAGTATTTGATGCAGCGGATGGCTTTGTGCTGCTTTCGCACACAGTGCGGAGGGTATGAGATGTCCTGACGCTGGGTTTTAAAAGGCACCGTGAAGCACAGCCTTTAAAAGTAGAGCAGATTGCACTCAGAGGATGTTGTTGGATCTGTGATGATTAGGGCCCTACCAAATTCACGGCTATGAAAAACACATCACGGACTGTGAAATCTGGTCTCCCCCCATGAAATCTGGTCTTTTGTGTGCTTTTACACTATACTATACAGATTTCAGGGGGGAGACCAGCGTTTCTCAAATTCATAGATTCATAGATTCTAGGACTGGAAGGGACCTCGAGAGGTCATCGAGTCCAGTCCCCTGCCCTCATAGCAGGACCAAATACTGTCTAGACCAGGGTCCCAAACCTCTTTTGTCTGGCGGGTGCCAGACGATGAGCCATGGAGGACCGTGGTGGTGGGCAAGTATCTGCCGAAATGCCGCCAACAAGCGGCAACGTCAATAGGCGTTGCCGCCGAAATGCCGCCAAGAAGCAGCAGCATCCAGAGCCGTCACTGCCGAAATACCGCCGAAAATCGGCGGCATTTCGGCAGTGACGCATCTGGATGCTGCTGCTTCTCGGCGGCATTTCGGCGGATGCTCGTCCGCCGTCCAGTACGCGGGCGCACTTGGACGCCCCAGCGGGCACCATGTTGGGGACCCCTGGTCTAGACCATCCCTGATAGACATTTATCTAACCTACTCTTAAATATTTCCACAACCTCCCTAGGCAATTTATTCCAGTGTTTAACCACCCTGACAGTTAGGAACTTTTTCCTAATGTCCAATCTAGACCTCCCTTGCTGCAGGTTAAGCCCATTGCTTCTTGTTCTATCCTTAGAGGCTAAGGTGAACAAGTTTTCTCCCTCCTCCTTATGACACCCTTTTAGATACCTGAAAACTGCTATCATGTCCCCTCTCAGTCTTCTCTTTTCCAAACTAAACAAACCCAATGCTTTCAGCCTTCCTTCACAGGTCATGTTCTCAAGACCTTTAATCATTCTTGTTGCTCTTCTCTGGACCCTTTCCAATTTCTCCACATCTTTCTTGAAATGTGGTGCCCATGAAATTGGGGGTCCTGACCCAAAAGGGAATTGCGGGGGGTTGCAAGGTTATTTTAGGGGCGTCGTAGTATTGCCAGCTTCAGAGCTGGGTGGCCAGAGTGGCGGCTGTTGGCCGGCGCCCAGCTCTGAAGGCAGCACCCTGCCAGAAGCAGCACAGAAGTAAGGGTAGCAGTACTGCAACCCCCCCTACAATAACCTTGCGACCCCCCCCTCCCCCCCCACACACAAAACTCCTTTTTGGGTCAGGACCCCTATAATACAACACTGTGAAATTTCAGATTCAAATAGCTAAAATCATGAAATTTACAATTTTAAAAATCCTATGACCGTGAAATTGACCAAAATGGACCATGAATTTGATAGGACCCAAGTGATGATCCAACCAGCCTGAAAGGATGTTGTGGAAGCCCCAAAACATTGTCCTTGTGGGTTACCAGAAGCATCCCATTCATCCAGCCTGGAGCCTTCTCACATTGCAAGGTCTGAATCTGTGTGGGGGAGGATAAAGGAAATCACTACGTTTGCTGAGTGTGACAACTGGGCATGTCCTGGAGGCCCCTGCACTCAACTGCTCTAACGCTGAGGCTGCCCCTGCTTTTCCCAGGATGGATTTCAGCTTTCCTGTGCATCTCTGGAAGGGCACACTGGAGCCTTGTGCCACTGCTGACTGGAGCTGGCGGTCATCCTGGCACACTGCCCTGGCATTGGCTCATCACCAGGACAGAACCACTTGCTAGAACAGTTGTGGGTTTGCTGGGGAAGTTCAGCAGTACGGGTGGGAGTAACACTCTTTCCAGTCCACTAGTATCTCTGGAGGATGTTAACAGACACTAGTGAAGTTAGACATTTTTAAATCAGCAGGTTCAGATAACGTGCATCCAAGAGCTTTAAAAGGGCTGGCTGAGGAGCTCCCTGGACCATTAATGTTGATTCTCAGTAAGTCCTGGAGCACTGGAGAAGTTCCAGGAGACTAGAAGAAAGCTAATGTTGTACCAATATTTAAAAAGGGTCAACAGGATGGACCATGTCATTATAGACCTGTCAGCCCGACACTGATCCCAGGGAAGATAATGGAGCAGTTGATACAGGACTCAGTTAATAAATAATTAAAGGAAGGTAATGTAATTAACAAAATGAACATGGGTTTATGGAAAATAGGTCAAACTAACTTGATATCTTTTTTTGATGAGATTACAAGTTTGGTTGATAAAGGTAATAGTGTTGATGTAATATACTTAAACTACTGTCTGGGGTTTGGCTTGGTACCGCATGACATTTTGATTAAAACCACTAGAAATATATATAATTGGCCCATATTAAATGGATTAAAAGCTGGCTAACTGACAGGTCTGAAAATGTAATTGTAAACAGGGAATCATCATCGCTGAGCAGGTGTGTTTCTACTGGAGTCCCTCAGGGATCTGTTCTTGGCCCTACGCTATTTAACATTTTTATCAGTGAGCAGGATGAAAAGATAAAATCATCACTGATAAAGTTTGCAGATGACACAAAAATTGTGGGAGTGATGAACAATGAAGAGGACAGGTCACTGATACAGAAAGATCTGGATTGCTTGGTAAACTAGGCACAAGCAAACAATATGCATTTCAATATGGCTAAATGTAAAAGTACACATCTAGGACCAAAGAATGTAGGCCATACTTACAGGATGGGGGATTCTGGGAAGCAGTGATTGAAAAAGATTTTGGAGTCATGGTGGATAATCAGCTGAACATGAGCTCCCCATGTGACGTTTTGGCCAGAAGGACTAATGTGATGCTTTTGGAAGCACAAACGGGAATCTCAAGGAGCAGAGAGGTTATTTTACCTCTGTGTTTGGCGCTGGTGGAATACTGTGTCCAGTTTTGGTGCCCAAAGTTCAAGAAGGTTGCTGATAAATTGGAGAGGGTCAGAGAAGAGCCATGAGACTGATTAAAAGGATTAGAAAACCTGCCTTGTAGTGTTAGACTCAAGGAGCTCAGTCTGTTTTGTTCAGCAAAAGGAAGGTTAAGGGGTGATTTGATTACAGTCTATAAGTGCCTACAACGGGAACAAATATTTACTAACGGGCTCTTCAGTCTAGCAGAGAAAGGTCTAACCCAGTGGTTCTCAACCTGTTAATGCAGCCCACAATGTGTTAAGTGGGCGCAGGTTGAGAACCTCAGCCCCCCTCCACCCTAAAACCTCCCACAGTGGCCTATGACCAGCACCCCTGCCCAGAGCAGGGCCAGGTGTGGAGCCCTGGGTGCAGTCCAGGCAGCCGGACCCAAATCCTGCTGCATAGGGCCGAAGAGGACCCCGTGGTGTGGGGCTGGGCAGGAGCAGGGACCCAGACCCGAACTCCACGGTGCAGGGCCAGGCAGGAGCAGGGACTGGGACCCAGACCCGTACCCTGTGGCGTGGGGCTGGGCAGAAGCAGGGACCCAGACCTGGACCCCACGGCACAGGGCCAGGCAGGAGCAGGGACCCAGACCTGGACCTCGCAGCACAGGGCAAAAGTCGGGCTCCAGACCCCACGGCGCGGGGCCGGGCAAAACCCAGCACCGGGCCAGGAGTGGAGCCCCCGGCGGGGCCAGCAGACAGCACCCGAGAAAGGGGGCCAGGAGCAGAGCCCCACCTAAAATCTGGGGCAAACCCCTTAGTTCCCAGAGCTTCCTCTCCCCTCAGCCACAGACCCACTCTCCTGCCCTACGGCACTCACCAGCCCTCTGCTGGCAGGAGCACAGATGCAGTCTGCAATAGGCTGTCTCCCCCTCAGCCAGCCCTGCTCCCTGCCAGACCAGAGCAGCAAATTTTGAATTTTAGCACACAGCTGGGCCACAGCTGTGTGCTAATTGGGCCACATGCAGCCCACGGGTTGAGACCTGCTGGTCTAACCCGATCCAATAGCTGGCAGCTGAAAGTAGAGAAATTGAGACTGGAAATAAAGTGTAAATTTTTAAAGGTGAGAGTAATTAACCACTGGAGCAATTGACCAAGGGTTGTGGTGGATTCTCCGTCACTGGCAATCTTTAAATCAAGGAGTTAGTGCGGGGAAGTTCTCTGGCCTGTGTTATACAGGAGCTCAGACTCAATGGTCACCGTGGCCTTGGAATCTATGAAAACCCCCTCTAGTAGACACCCCCTGAAGAAGCCGAGAAGAGGCAGCACAGCTGGATTGAGCAGAGCCTGGGAGAATCTGTCTGCCATTAGTTTGTGAACCCTTTGGAGGCAGGGATCTGTCTTACTCAGGGCTCTAGAATAGCTAGCACCCTTTGGGGGCTATATAAAGAGTGATACTAAATGAAGAGCAGCATAAATGTGTTGGGTTTCCTTGGATGAAGGTGCCTGTAACTGCTAAGGCCTTTGGTGTTGAAAGGACGCCTTGCTCGAAGCTGTGGCATTGCATCTGGTGGCTGGTCCTTCTTGATGAGTGATAGTAGCTGTGTGTGTTTCAGGAAACAGCTGTGGTTTTGACACTGGTTTTCATACAGTGACTACCAGCATCTAAATGAGACTGATTGTTAATCTGCAGGGGACCCCACATCCCTCTCCCGGGGCCAAGTTGGGGCTCTCACAGATGAGAGACAATGCCAGGGTTCCAGTGCTGGGTAAGGTGGAGGGTCCTCACTTGCCCGCCATATGACTGGGCTGCTAGGGCCAGCGTGACAGAGCCCACGCACGGGGAGCACTTTCCTCAGCAGGAAGTGGCTCTCTTAAACAGATGATGTTTACAAAGTCTGTTGCCCCCAACTCCATGGGTGTGGGTCAGGCTGACTTCTCCATTCTGTCTGCCAGCTCCAGCACTCCATGGGCTGCTGCTCCCCTGCAGCTGATGGGTGGGGTGGCTATCCCAGACAGGCAAGAGCTGTGAGGGTCTCCCTCTGTCCCCTCCTCACCGTGCCCGAGGCCTTGGTGCAAGCATTCCTGTTGTTCTCTTTCTGCCTGCAGGATGGAGACGTTCCCGTCAGTGACAGAGGAGGTGCTGAGGGAGTTCCAGGTGCTGCTGAAGCACAGCCCTCCTCCCATCGGAAGCACCCGCATGCTGCAGCTCATGGCTATCAACATGTTTGCGGTGTACAACTCCCAGCCCAAAGGTACCAAGTGTTGTCAAGGAAGGGGGCTGGGGAGTTGTGCCCTGTTCTGTGTGGCGAGTGATTAAATCCATGTGGCTGGAGACGAGCAGGGGAGGGATACTGAACGAGCAGCCTTCAGGGAGGCGGAGCTGTCTTTGCCTGCCTGCTGTGTGGAAGGCAGTAGAAAGGGCCCTGAGGCCAGGATCTCAGGGCCTCTCCCCAGAAAGTGCTGCTCTGTTCTGAGTGGGGAAAAGCTTGGGGGTGTCTTCCTGGAGTCAGGCAGAAGAGTGTTGTGGAGGAGGAGGATGCGCAATCCGTTACACCTCACTTAGAGCCTGTCCCTAAGAACTGAATGATTTCCTGACATGCTTTCCCAGCATCTGTCTCTGGCCCCGCTCGGAGCCTTGCACTGGCGCTTAGAGGCAGGCCTGAAGACAGCTGCTCTCCGGAGGCATCATCCGTGGCAGTCAAGGGACAGCTCTGGGGGAGCATGCCCAGTCCAGTGGCTGCCCGTGACTGCTGAGCTCACTGCCGAGCCTGTTTGTAGGTAGCTGCTGGAGGCGGTAACTGAAGGGCCAGGAAAGGAGGCTCGCCCCAGATAGAGCCAGCTGGGAAACACAACAGGTGTGTCCAGATGGGGTGCGATTGCTTCTCTCCATTCCCTCTTGGGCTGGGTGTGTTGGCTCCTCTCCCTTTATAGCCTTGAGTCTATTGACCAGTGGCTGTCCCCAGACCCAGTGGGCTGTGGGGCGGAGTGCCCTTTCCTCAAGCGCGCTGCAGAGAATTCCGAGTGCGGCGGAGGTGGCAGTTGCCTGTTTGTTTGCAGCCGTACGCCATGACAGTGGGGTTGGACGTGCACTCCCAGGGCAGGAAGAGCACCAGCTGCTGGATGTTTAGATTCGGAAGGGGGCAAGGCCTCTCCCACTGCAGTTGTGGCCAGAGTGCTGGGTTCTTACAGACACTGAAACACAATCCCTGCCCCCAAAAGCTCGTGATTTCAGCTTTTCCTCTGCGAACAGTTGGCTCCTTGTCGTGCCAGATGAAGTGACTGGGGGACGAGATGAGCTGACTGGGTGAAGTGGTGTGCTGGAGAAATAGCTGCTTCCCAGGCATCTTCCTGAGTCCCCAGTGCTGTTGCTGAGGTCGGGCTCGTGAGCCGCTCTGCTAGGTGCCAGCTCACCAGGTGGAGTGTTTCTCTTTCCCGGCTTCAAAGTACTTTACAAACATGAGCAAATGCCTCCTCTCAGCCCCCTGGGAGGCAGGTCATTGTCCTTATCCCTGTGCTACAGATGCAGGGACGGGCACAGAGTAAGAAAGGGCCCTGGCCAAGCTCATGCTGCAAGCCACAGGCAGAGCTGTGGCTAAAACCCAGGTGTCTTGACTCCCAGTCCTGCACTCAGACCCCAGTTCCAAGGGGATGCAGGCAAGGGGGAGGGAGCTGAGGCTGTCTCTTCTCTTGCTATGTGAAATAAGCCCAAATGTTCTTAAGGGTCCCTCTCTCCTAAGTGAGTAGGTGCCTGCTGCACCCAGCCTCCGGTCTCTGGAGGGAGCAACCCCTTTCCTGCTTGGGGCTCCGTAGTGAGTGCCTGGAACCAGTGACTCTGTTCATGAGATTCCTGTGAATTGGAGGATGCTGCAGTTCCCACCTGACAATGTTAGAGGGTTTGTCGGGGGTCTTGTGCTTAGCTCTTGTGTTTGAGAGCCTAGGACACTGCTGATCACGTTCCTGGGGTAGAAATACTATTGTCAAAGTGAGCTTATTGCCAGCCCAAACATCCCTGACATTTCCGGGGTGTGCATATGTCGAATGCTGGCAAAGTCCCATGTGAGTTTGGAGCCGATTTCATGGTACTGAGAGGTACAAAGAGCTGGATGCTGAGGCAAAGCAAAGGGCCTGGAGTTTTAAATGTATGCAAGAGCATTTGCTGCATTGTTGCCAAGTGCCCAGTGCATAGCTGAGGCGTTGGCTCCACGCCCTGGTGTGTGGGCTGCTGTGGGCAGAGGGCTGAGGGGAGCTTACTGCAGTGATGGCTGGTGGGAAGATGCATGTTTCCATTTCCCAGCATATGAGTCACCTTCTGTGTGTTGCACTTGCACGGACAGCGGCAAGAGGGGGTGTTGTGGTGATCAGCATCTGTGTGTATGGAGGAGGCTGAAAGGCCTTAAAACCTTTCCCTAATTATCATCAGCACAGTCACTGAAGAGACTGGCAAATCACGAGTGATTCCATTCAGCGGCCTTCCCCACCAGCCTCTGCACTGCTGGGCAGTGCATCACAGGGAGAGCACGGCAGGGCTGTCCTGCGCACATGCCTGCAGGTGTGGTCTCTGTCTGGTCTCTGCTCAGAGCAGGAGTTATGCTGTCTCTAGGGCAGAGAGGGAACTCATTCGTAGGCTCCCTGCACTGCCCTGGGGCTCCTGCTGTGGAATGGACCTGCTGCCCAGAGTGTTAGTTGGCTCATGAGCCTTCCCTTTGCTCCTGTTGATTTCTAGGCCTCCAAGACCCCGTCTGTACTAGAAAAACTTTTCAAAACTTCCCTCCCAGCTGCTGCCGTTGTGTATCAATTAGACCTGCTCTCAATAAGGTTAGCCTGTGTGGCTCCTCCCCATTAGGGCTCCCATCGCTGTTCATACTGCGGGAGCTGGACTGGTGCTAGCAAAGGGGCAGCAGACCTGGGGTCAGGCTACCTGTCCCTGCTTTCATTGACAGAATCTCACTTGACTCCAGGTGGAGCCAAGAATCCCACTCAGGGTCTTTTCTCCTGCTGGAGCACCCATTAACCAGTGAGCCAGCCCCTCAGCCGCCCATGTGGAAGCGGGGTTAGGAAGGCTCTGGCTGCTGCCTCAGATCAGAGCCATGTAGTGCTATGGCAGACCCTGGACTGGAATGGGAAGAAGAGAACTGGACACAGGATCCGAGGCTGCAGCTTGTGCAGTTGCTGCCCCTGTCTAGTGTGAGCTGTCAGTGGCTGCTGATACCTTTGAGGCCATCGTGGGCTCCCAGGGAAGGGCAGGGACCTTTTTGGGGTGGCCATGTTTAATAGTTTGGTAGCCATCTGCACATGTGACTCGCAAGGAAGTTTGGATCCCTTTATCCAAACCACAGACACTCCAAGAATTTTAATTTTTTTTAATTCTGTAATTTGGGGAAATAAAACTCTGGTTTCTGAAAGGGCTAATTGAAGCCGTGCTTGCAGCAGGGGCATATCGGTGGGGAGAGAAACCCCCTCCCAGCCCATCTGTGCCCAATTTACTCCAATCTGGCCTCTCGGGGGCTTTTTTCTTTCTCTCTCTCTCTTTAATAATTTGTTTTATAATTCCTGGAATCAAACCCATCTCAGACACACTGTTTTATTTTACTGTATTATTGGATTATACTTCCTATAAATCACTGGATGTTATTCATAGGCCACCCCCGGAATAACTTCCCCTCTCCCCGATGGGTCTACATTCCACACAAATGCACACCAACCTGGGGGCTCAGCAGAGGGCACCCTAGAGACACTTCCCGGAAATCCCAGCAAATTTCCCTGGCTCTGGGTGTGAGGCATCAGACTGCAGCACCTGGATGCCTTCTGGCACTTACAGTCCTGTTGCATTTGTTCTTTCGAGTTTGTGAGGAACTCGGGCTGAAAGGGAGGGGGTTGCCACATGTGCATCCCCAGCATGTGTGGGGAATGGCGTGCAGAGTCAGGGCTGGGTACTGCTGGCTGGCCTAGTGCTTTGGGCTCATGAACAGGAAGACAGGCCAGACTTTAATCAGAAGAAATGTCAGTGGAGTGTGGTGACTAACCTGTGTGACCTGCTGACCAGTAACTAGGGGTCTTGCTGTTTGGATGGCAGTCGCACTGCCGGGGTGGCTTTGGAGCATGGGAACAGGTTCATTAGGGCAGCTTATAGGAAATCAGTCCCTAATGTAGAATCATCCTGGTTTGTGGCTAGGGCTTGGCTCACATGGGCCAAACCCTGGGTCCACTCTCCCATTTGGGCCCAAAGGTCCTCCTTCCCCTCCTCCCCCCACTGGAGAAATAGGGCCTGGAGGGCAACAGAACTGATGTGGCAGTGCTGCACGGGGTTGGGAGTGCAGGCTGGGGAGAGTCCCACCCCTATACGCCATGGAACTGTGCTCTGGGGGCCTCTGGAGCAGCATGGCGAACCATCATTACACATCCTCTAGCCACTGCTGTGCACATGTGGAAAGGAGCAAGCTAGCGCTTAGCAGAACTGTCTGGTGCATAGACCTTCTCTGCACCAGTTCCTGCCAGGTCCACTGAAAGACATCATCTGATAAAGGAATCTGTATGGTAGTGCAAAGTATCTGTGCCCCCAGGTATGTGTGAGACCCTCCCCCTTGTTCCGCATCTGTGCACAGCTGGAGAAGGAGGCATCACTCATGTAATTCTCAACTGAATTCATTATGTACTTAGTCTGTTACCAAACAGACAGCTCCCCTGCCATCCTGCTCCTGTGTGCGGCTCTGTGCTGAGCGCACTGTGGGCTTCGCTGTAGTGACCGCAAATGCTCGGACTTGCGAGCTAGACCTGTGAACCCTTAAAATAGCCCTTGAGATGTTGGAAGGGTGAGCAGTGTCTACCCTTGGCGGCAGCCCCGGGCCCGTCTCCGAGTGTCTCTTCAGCACTCGCTTGGTTTCCCGCACGGGATCAGGCTTTGCTTGACGAGCTAACTGCAGCATCGGAAAAAAGGCTCAGCCGGAAACACTTACTGCTCATCTACCGCAGCCGCATCTCAATGGCTTTTCGTGAGGGTCTAACCACATCATGCGTATTGGAGCACAAAGAAGGTGCTGGGAGCTGAGCCCAAAGGGGTCCGGTGCATTCGAGCTAGTTTAAAAATAAAACACTGCTGTGGACAGCAGCCTTGGTTTGGTGGAGTTTTAAAATTAGGTTTAAAACGAGGCTTAATGAAACCTCAGACTCCAGTTAGCAGAAGCAGCGGTGTGATCGCCCTGGCTGGGAAGTGGAGCTCAGCCCTTTCTCCTAATTCCCCCTCTCTGTGGTGAAG